TGTCCCGAAGATGCTGGTCTCATTTTTGTGGGTTCCCTCAGGGACTGTGTATGAGCCACTGTAACAAAAGACAAATAATACTGATAAAATAATAACTGATTCTGATACCTGTCAATATCTATGCACAAAAAGTTCAACTGTAATCAATCCCTATTTAACCTTGTAAGAGAATTGGTGGGGATTTTTAAAAGGAAATGCTTTAAACAGTGGATGACACAACATTTCCTTAACCCCTTAACGCAGGGATTCTTTTGATCGTGACTGCTGGGCTGTGGTATGCCCTGTACGCAAAGCTCTGTCCATCAGCAGGCCCACATTGAAACCGCAGTTGCATGATGAGTGGAATGTATGTGTGGTATGCACTAATCCTCACACAAAGCCGTGGCTGTCGCTGTCTACTGGCGTTAAGGGGTTAAAAGTTTTAACGATGATTTTACTGTGAGACTGCATGCATTAATGTCACCAGTGATTGAGTATTCCATGAACGATGACAGTGAATTGTCTGAAAACCTCAGTTAGTCACTCAGATTAATAGTTATAATGTCACTGCAAATTTCTGCTGTTTCTTATAGATTTTTCAATCGTTTGTCCCTTCTTTCTTGGTATGAATGTTTGATAATCTGCAAGCTCTACCAAAATCCTCCACACAGAGTGTGACATCAGATGCAAACAGAATGGAAGACAGTCCACAGGTAGTAATTGGGAGGTTGCTCAGTTATATAGTTCCATGGATGCTGACATTTGTGGTTATGACCACTCTCTTCTGCAGTAATATTTCCGCCGTAAAGTGTAAGATGAATACCAAACTGATTCGGAGGATCCCAAAGCACAATGGTTCATTTTCAGATTTTGAGATTTGAGAAGTTGTTTTGTTTTTCTCTAATGAAATACCACGGTCCACTGCCATTGTCGGGTGAACTGAGGTCTTACGAGCAATTCCAAAAGGTTGGGGTGCCACTTCAGACAAAAGGATCACTGCAATCCTATGACAAGTAAACATGTCTCTACCAAGCATTATGTAAGTGCCTGCGGTGATGTGGTTATTGCTGAATGACATGTTGCCTCAAATGTTCCAGATGGTAGCAATATTATGGGAAGTAAGCGGGGAAATGTAGAGAGCTATTGCCTAAATATAAACGCATACCGTCCTTGTGACAAACTTTGCCATTGTTCTCAAATACAGCTTAAAATGGAGAAAAATAGTACAAGCACTTTCTTGCTGAAAAGGGACAACTGCTGAATGTTCCTTCAATAACTAAGGGACACTTTGATGGCTGGATATGGTCGGTTTATCCCCCCTCCCTCTGAACACACAAGTTATGAAATTTAGTAAGGTTAGTAGAGTTAATTGTGCATACCACCAGACTCACGAGTACTGCCTGGTCTGCTTGGAATGATGGTGGAGAGACGATCCCGAGACAAACTGCTCACAGACTTAGAGACCTACCAGAAAAAAAGGGAGAACATGTCGTTATCCAGAGGAAGTCCTGACATATCAAAGGATGGGAGATATTTTGTTGAAAAGGGCCATTATGAAGCAAATGCTTGGGGGTTCACTGTAGTGTGAATCCCACAAATTTTTATACATCTGTCAGGTGTTACATCTTGGAAGTTTCCCTTTCAATAATGTCCAAGTTACATTCCAGGCATCAACTTTGAGCTGGTGGAGCTTTCAAAATGATTGTTGCTCGCTTACACTTTCAGTGAAGACACAGTGAAGATCTCGTTTACCTGTTTGTGGTGTTTAGTGAGCTTTGCACAACCTTGCACATGATCCTTGCAAGAATTGTTGTGGACATTTACAAAACAGACTGGAAAAAAGAAGAAGAATTCCGTGGTCAGCACAGCGACTACTTCTCAGGGACATATGGTCATTGTTAAATTGCTATACTGGCAAACAAACTGGTGTGAATTCAATAATGTGGCAGGAATTTAAATCACTACAATATTTGAATTATATTTTTACACCTGGAGGATTGTCAAGTAAAGTTACTAGATAGACACTGTTGCTGACGTATCCAGTAAACTTTGTTTCCGTATCCTCAAATGCTTAAACAGGATATGACTGACAAGACCCAGCCCAGTAAGATATTAGGAGAAGCAGGGGATATATTTGGTATTCTTTCCAACCTGAGCACTGCAGTGAGTCTCTGTTGGCCAGGGACTTTTCACAGTAATCACACTTAGTGGAGTTAGAGAAGGAAACGCCCACAAACTGGTGCTTTCTCTTCTCTTTGTCTTTCTCTCTCTTGTCTTTGTCCTCTTTCTGTATCACACACAGGTAAAAAAGGAGAGAGAAACATTATGAATTGGCATACAATGGTTAATCTTCTGGCCAAGAAAAAACCCTGGCTAAATAGCCAATCTAGGAGGCAGCAAAAGACTCCTACTCCCATGCCATCTCAAGGTTTCTCCTGGTATAGGCACTCCCCAAAAGACTCAGCATTGGACCAATAGAGGGCGCTACGCTGCATACTGACAAAAGCTATTCAAGAAAAGGCTCTATGACCGGTGATGAAACAGAATACATGTACTTAAAAAGAATGACATAACTTGGGGATTGAAAGATGTGCCATTTTCAAGAGGAATTTGTTTAGACCGATCAGAAGTTACGATGAATATTCATTCTGGATGACAAAAAGGTGACTGAGGGAACAAAAGAAACAATTTCCAAAGAGTATGGGGTGCAAATCCAACTAATGTGAGGAAAACTTGGTTCCCCTCTCAGTAACACCTGAAATTATTGAGACATTTTTTACCTTATTTTTGGTTTTCTTTAGGAAGCTGAACCTTCTAATCATCTTACTTGACTCCATCTCACTGCTTGCTAAAGCAGACACTCCTGGAATAAGAAGAAGGAAAAAAACTCAATTGTGAACTCAAACGCTGGATAAAATCTGAGCATTTAGCTTGATACTACTTCAACTACAGGCTCCACAGGGGAACTTACTATGAATGTAGAAAACTGTGCAAATTTAAAATGAAAACTCGATGTAGAAATCTGTAATTCTTCAGGAATGTTGAGTTCCTTTTCTTTTTAGATTCTGTTCTATCTTTCCAAAACACCTCTTTAGGATTCACTGAGTGCCATATTACACTTTTCTTAAAAACAAAACCTGGCCAATTTGTGATCACTCTCCTGGCCATAATTGGTGAAATTATCAAGGGCTACATATCAGGACGATGCTTCCGCCAAGTTAGCCAAACTTCACAAAATGAAACAACCGTGCCATTTTCAAACTCATTGTAGTTTAGATTGGCAAAGATTGGCAAATGTAATTTTGCAAGTTATTATTACCAGTGTGCACAAAAAAATGTATTCTGAGCTGAACCAAAGTTGAGTTCAGAAGAAATGATTCTGTACACCAGCCAAACTGAAAAACGCACCGATCACGAGAAAGTCACTAACACAATATACTTTTATGGATGCGACTAGTCTTAAACGTTTGTTTAAAACTGGCCTAGAGCATAATTATTCCCATTCATAAATGAATTTTTGTTCACAGAATCAAAAGAAGTCAACATATGGTGGATTTCCTACAATTTTATTCAAAACATTACTTTCACTTTCCCAAACACTCCCGTCCATATTATGGAATATTCCTTCAGAAAGTTGTCCAATAGAATCCCCTTCAATAAAGTTGGCGCTGGCGCGCGCATTATGCATCGCATGTACACAGACTCCTGACTGATCAGACCCTATTAAACTGTCTCGTATCCATGTGCCAGCACATGATTTGCACAGCGGGCATTAACACTTTTCAGTGGGCATTATCAAATCTTAATATACAGTCACATGACGCGTTTTGACAAATAGGAATAGAAAATCTGTCCCAGATATTTATGAATATGAATTTTCCAGCTAGTTACCCATTTTTACCATCAGGCACAGGTCTGTGCTCAACCAACGTGGGTGCTTACTTATTCTGATGCTCCTATAAGCCAGCACAAGGCTTGTGATCACACTTACTACTTTGAGGCAACTGCTCCTGCTGTAGTTGCTGCTGTTGTTGCTGCAGCTGTTGCTGTTCAACCTTCTGCACCTGATCGTCCTGAAAGTTCCTGGGGTCACTCAGGAACTCCGTCAGTGACAGTCGAGCCTTCCTTTGCTTAGCGGCGGTCAGCTGCTGCCGCTGTGCATCGTCCACGTCGGAATCACGACTGTTGTCCGAGCTGCAGAAAATAAGAGAAAATACAGTTCAGCATGTGTAGCATCTTGCAGAGCAATACAAGGAAATGATCTGGTCCTTGATCACTTCGACCTATCTTGTCATGCCTCTAGCCACAACACCCTGGTCACCTCAAAAGTCTTACAGCGCTCCCAGGACATTTTGAGAGTCTTCATAGAATTCAAATGCCTACCAAGTGATAGAGCAATGACATGAGGGATGAGGTGTTCTCCACAGTGACAGAAATGTGAATGTTTCAGTACCAATGAGAGACAATGACAAACACTGAACTAAAACAAGAACAAGAAAAGGTTCAGGGTGTTCAAAGGCTAGAAGGTCAAACAACATTTAAACATTGTTATTTTTGTAATTTTTTTCTATTTTGGTTGCAACGGGAAGGGTCTCTTTCCATGATATGCATTTGCTTTTTAAATTTGACAAGGGGAATGTTACTTAAGGGAAAAATACAGCTTGCACCAAACTTCCAACAATTAGCAAAGACAATGGCTTGCTTGATCATTATGCAATTTTTACTTACCTTCTTCTTGGTAAGTTTCAACAGCAAGACCAACAAACAACAATATTCCAAATGAGGAATTCGAAATTGTTGCAAATGTGTATTTGCTTTTAAGTTTGCCTTTTCAAAGCCAAGGGTCAATGTCTGATTACCAAAAGGCTGATGGATATACATTGAAATTTATTAGCAAGCGGTTAGTGAAAGTTTTGATTACTAAAGCCATTCAGCAACAACATCTTGATATCAGTGAATTTCCGCCAAAAACCAAGTACCCATGTACTCAAAAAAAACCCTCGTCATTCAGTACAGAGACACAAGTCGTCCATTACCAAAAAATAAACCAGTTTAATGACTTTCCTTGGTGTGAAAGTGACTACTGCTATGGGATGAAACAATGCTCTTATTATAAGGATTTGCAGTGGATATATTTTGTTTGTGACGCAGTGTGACTGTTACATGGAAGAGTAATTCATAGTGATGTTAGTCCAGTGTACAAAAATGCTTTCAATGGAAAGATCTTTACTTGTTAAATGTTATGCAACTCATTTAATAAACTACACAGCATGACTGCTTTTGTGAGGTCAGGTGGAAATTCATGACAAGAGGTACAACTTTATGACTCCAGATACTTGTAGATGACTCGTTTTGAGAGGCCTTTGTTTACAACATAGCTGCTTTTGTAACTACCAAATTGAAAGAAAAGAAAAGAAACCAACAGTGAGCAATTTTAGTGGCTCTGAGATGGCGCAGAGTGTTCTTAGTGGCTGGAAATAAGGCCAAGTGGGCACGGGATGAAGTGGGGGATGATGGGCATCAGTGGAGAAACTGAATCACAAACTTACTCGCTGTCTGTCTCCACCACGGATTGGATTGGATGGCGAGACTTCGGAGAGGTTAGAGTGCTGAGAGCATGAGAGAAAAGGGGTGGGGGGAAGGTGTGAAGGGGGGACACGTAGATGATGATCCATGAAATAATAAGAGAACAGGAGAAAAGAGAAAAGAAACGGTGTGCAAGTGGAGAAGATTAATTAACCACAACAACTGACACCTTCAGAAGAGGAAATGAAGACAAGACCAATATTATAAATATGTTGCAAGACTAAAAAGCAAGAGAGGGTTTACTCTTGAAACAGGTTTTTGGTTCACATTTCTGTCTTTCATATTTTGGGCTTTAAAAAGACTTCCGTGTTTTTTGGGAGAATGATTTGTCTGTCAATGGTCACCACAATAGGCTATTTTGGAATCACAGAAAAATGGCTTTAAAATATGCAAAGGTGGAATTCTTCACTAATCAACGGTAACATCCTCAGAGATAAATCATATTAATTTTAACATTAAATATTCAGTTTGCTTTTTCTTGGTTAGGATTTTGGTTTTTTCTTTTGCAGTAAGAACATCTACATGTAGGTGCAAAGTTTTCCTGCACTAAGACAAAATGGTGACCATGAACTTATGCCTTTTACCCAAACTCAGAAATCTGTGGATTACAAGGGAAAATTGCTGTTAATGGGCAACGTTTTCATTTCATGGTTTTGGGGATGGTTTTCACAGGGGTTTGAGCGGTATCATTAGTCATTGGCTGTGCCTTCCCATGGAGAATTTTGTAGCTGCTACATGTAGGCTCAGCTGAGTTAAACAAGCAAGAACATTCTCAGAGAGAGAGAGAAAGATAGAGAGAGATTGGGGATTGGGACTAACCGGCTGTGATAGACATTTTGGAACATGTGTCTCTAAAACGGAGTTTTTACTGGCTGAGTAAAGCTAGAGTGCAATTCTAGACCCCAAAAATCAAGGGGATAAAACTGGAATATGATTTGGCATTTGACAGAAAATACATACATGCAAAGGGCCTTAATTACTAACTCGTTTGAAATTTGGAAGTATTTTTTGACAAGAAATTAGAAAGCAAGATATAGCCTCCATTTGGGCAAGGAGGAAAGAGTTCCTTCAAACTTCAATTGCCACTGCTACCGTGTGCCTGCTGCCCGTATGAAAATGCTGCAAATTACACACATTCAGAGAGAATTCCTAGTGTACCGGTATACTCCATGCAGTACATGCATAACCAATTGAATGAACGCAGTGTCTGCCATAGTAGTACTTATGCAAATGGCTACCTAGTATTGTGGTTTGTTCCTGCACATAATCCACAGCCTCTAACCGGAGAGATCAACACATTATTACGTATAGGGTGAATTAGAAATGTTATGGAAGGGTGGATTTTAGTAACAGAGTTGGGAGACAAACTATGCTAGAGTAGTACAGTAACATGCAGAGCTCATTCTTTCACAGTCATGGTATTAAACACTGGCAAATTACTCTACTGTCAGGGCCGATGAGTTTCAAATTCACTGGGGAAAGAACGCAAATCACAGAATTCACCCTTGGAAAATACATCAGCTTTTGAAGCAAATGAAAAGGATGATTTACAAAAAGAAGCCCCAAACATGTATCTCAAAGCAAGACATCAATCCACTTCAGAGAGCTAATGTGCATCTCTTTCTGTTAGTCTGCTCGATAGGAAATTTGCTATTCTCAGTGCCCATCTACAGCATAACTACCAGCCAAATAGGCAAACAGGGTGTCCCTCCTTGGGAAATGGGCATATCTGACAGAGAAAATCACTGGCCCCACAATACCACACTGTGATATTATACTTTCTTCAATAACTCAAATATCCATCTGCAAAAACAATGCTGCCCTAACATACTTAAGCTTAACAGTCTGGTTTAAGTCCTATCAGCCAGTAAAATGTGAAAGCCCATCTGTAATGCTACACTACTTTTCATGTTTTATAATTATGCCGGACAAGGGTTCTACACATATAAAACTAATTTCAAGCAGACAACACCAACAACTTTCACCTAGGGTATACATACACGGCAAACTACAAGCTAACTACTGCACACTAACGGGCACACAACTCTCTGTAAATTGTACTTATCTTTCTGAAAGTAGTAACATGGCTGCGTGCATTTAAGAAATGAGTACTCCAGAAAATATCTTGCATATGTTAGTTGCCTCAAAATTTTGAAATGTAAAGGCCTGTTTTCAACCAGACTTGTCAGAGAACTTCATTTCGACTTGCCACTCGGGTATTTGCGCATTCAAGTAGGTTTTCTGCTCAGGGCACATTTTAGTCTACAAGGGTTTGCTAAAGTTGCCAGGAAGGAGAGTTAAAAAATGCCAGAAAAAGGGAAATTGCAATTCCTTCACCTGAAGGGAGAATAGTAGCATAGTGGCTTATCTGATTGAAGGTGCACCAGCAATGTGTCAAGAAAGTATGTAGCAGATACAAATGCTGGACATTTCTCTCATTTAGATTTTCCTCCTGTCCGTAGCAAACATTTCCTGAGTTTTTTTTAACTTACTTAAGGAAGTATGCAAAAGGATCCAACAACTTTACAGCCATACCCACACTTAATTTTCAAGAGATTGCTTGTTGTTTTCTGTGTTGGGACACAGTGAATATTGTGTAAAATAAAACTGTGTGTAGTCTAACAGGAAGGTACCTTGGCAAAGTAACTTTCATACTTGGATTAACTGTCAAGCAGAATGTGAATTTCTTCATTTAACAAAATGTTTTGTTATAGATATTGAAATTTTTGATTTTGTGTTATAGATATTTAAAGAGGCTAAACTGAGACTAAATCACGTTGATGAAAAATTCTCTGTTCAGCTTCAAAATGCATCTGTTTACTGAAACTACTTTCTACCAATTTTGTCCATTTTTTTATAACAAAGAAACGCTTTGATTATAACTTGCAAAGAAAAAAGATGACAAAGTCAAAAGTTCAGATGAAACATGAATTGACACAAGTGCACGATAACTGGACACACAAGGGCTGAGATGTTTCTGGGGTTCCACACCAACAACACAACATAGGCTAAAGGAGCCATCAGATGAACTGCCTGTAACCCGGACATCAAATCTTCTGGAACTACGGACGAGGAGGGGCTTAAGAAGGGGAGAAAAGGGGGCAGTGCTGGGAAGCAGAAGCAACTGTCTGGTTAGCAACGATCAAAAAAGCACAGCAGGCGACAGAGAAAGGTACAATTTTCGGCTGGTGTGTCTTACAGCATGACTATCGGCGGTGCACTTTGGGGTGAATTGGGCAGTTCAGGCTCTTCCGGCGTGAGGGGTAATTCCTCGCCTACCGGCTCCCCCTCGTAATCCTCCGTCCTGAAAATCCAAGGGTAATGGGCTCTTTTTGTTTTTAGTCAAGACTATTCCAAGGGTAAGGAAACCATAACTTCTCCCCTCATACAAAAGGAAGTTGCTATTTCTAAACTAACTCTGCACTCAGATAATTTTCTACACCTTGCACAGTGAGTCAATCAGGCTGGCAATCTATTTGTATTAAATGAGATGTGCTTAATATATGTTGTTTGGGTTGTTATTATAAGCCTTGATGACTGCACTACATACTATTAACGTCTCCTGTTGATCACAAAACATTCCATAAGTTATGCGTAGCGTAAAGCACCAATTATCAACCCACGACATGTACATCATCATCTTGTATCCCGCAGAATGTACTGGCATTCTAATATGATCAAGAAAGCTACAACACCCAAGATTTGAACTTTGTGTTTTGTTTTAATATGGAGGTGGAACTGCATCATGAATATGTAATATAAAACAAAAAACTCAATAGAAAATCCATTACTGTTGGCCGCAAAGAAATAATCTATAAGTCATTATTTCGTAAGCATGAAAGATACAGAGAAAAATGGCAAAGTGCAAAACAGAAATCCTTAGCTTGGCAGATTTTTAACAGCTCCTGGTGCATTTTATTCTTTCAAAAATATACTGATTTTCATTTTTTAAAATATTCATCACACCAAGCGTTTTGCATTACATTTAGTCACTGTTCCAATTTTACAGGTGTCCTTGAAGATCTGACAATATTCACACCCACACATATAAAGAAATTTATTCTAGGCAAATAACAATACCCCAACATGAAAACCTCCTATTTTTTTCCATGCAATCAAAAAAAATTTAAGTACAGTTTGCACTTAAGTAGTAGGGCAGAAATACTGTGAAACAGGACGCAAGTCTGAAGGTTTAGACCGAATTAAGTATTTTCTTCAGAAAGCAAACTTTTCATCAAGCTTCTTGCCACAAAGTTTGCATGCATGTGGCAGATCAAATGACATGAGTACTGGCAAATCAGCTATACATGATTTACAGAACTAACTTCAAATCTCAACGACTCAAGGGACAGTCATTAATAGCGTTATTGTTAGTTGTTTACTTATGAGATGGAAAACATAGCCACCATTACAAAGTGAAACAAGTATTCAAAGAGTTCCAGAATAAACGAACTTGCAAGACAAGTGATTTTCCACTTCAGTGAAAAAACAAAACAATCAAAAGAAATCTTTCTGAGATGAGCTTCTCAGGAGACAATGCATATACAGGGATACACATCAGAAATTCTGGACAAAAATCATGATATGAAAGTATATCTTGTTTTAGATTCAGAACTCCAACTAACAAAATATATGTTTGGCTACGATGAGTTGGAAAGATACTGTGTAATTACATGTACATTATTCATGTTAACTCAGGATTTTTCAGAGGAAAACTTTTGCAACAAGGTGCTCTGCACCTGTGGTGATCAAGGGTTAAAGGTGAAAGGACCAAAAACCAAATTAGATTTTTACCTTGGGGTGACAAACATAGAGTTGGCTTGCCGAGGACCTAAAAAGGTAAAAAGAAATGAATAAAAAACTATCTGATGGAAGATCAAACCTGCGTAAAGATTACAAGAGCCTTGTCAGTTAAAAAGGCACCAGTCTAGCGGATAAGTAAGAATGGACATTCCTGTGAATACATGTATGATGTCAAATTGAGGTCCAGAAATTGAGACTGTCCTTTTCATACTCATATTGTTGTTATTGACTCAAAAAAAAGGCTTTACATTTATACATCCATGCATGCACAGATAACCAAGGCAGCTCTACATACACATGATTGAAAATTAAGAAAAAAAGATAACATGTAAAGCATTATGATATGCATAGCAACCAATACAATTTGAGAATCTTGGAAAGTACTGCCTGTCTCTTACAAGTACATTAACAATGAAGTAAGATCATGTCTCAAGTCTACTTGACATCAAGCAATATTCTTTCTTTACAAATGAAATTCGCTTTCTTCCATTCTAGCTACCCATGGGCAACTGCTCATTCCTTCACACTACAATATTTCTTTTGCAAACCCCTACCGTTACCATCATGATCACGTCAAATCCACTCAGAGTACAATCAAACAAAATCTGGGCCCAATTTCATGGCACACATGATTTTATGCCAATGGAGGCTCTGTGTATTTCATAAAGACTGTAAGAAGTAAGCAAAGCAAAAGGCATGCTTACTCTAGAGAAAAACAATGGAAATCTCTATGTGCATGCAACCTTTAACAACCCACGGCAAGCACTGCCATATCATGCTTATGGTTACTAAAGATTTATGCTACAGTAAACCAAACTTTGAGGCCCTGCTGAATGAGAGCTCAAAGTGCAAACTAGTCACCAGTGCCCTTCAGAGAGAAAGGGACAGAGGCTATGTGAATACAATCCTGAGGATGAGAACGGCAGGAATATGACCCGCAGATAAATGAAAGCACACTTGCACCATGTGGTTATTTCAAGATGGAAGAAAGGACAACATTTTCTGTTCCCATGATGCAGCATTTTCCTGCAGGCGTATCAAGAGTGACACACCAGAATGAAGCCATAGGTACAGGGTTTCATCAAGGATTTACAAATAAAAGTGTCACTCCTTGCTTTTTCATCACCCTGACCTGCAAAATTGCAAATGAATGTACAGCAGCGTACAGTGGTGAGAAGTTCAAGGAGCATAGAATGCCAACAAGCACCTTCCATTAATGGTTCTTTCCAGATAACAAAGGAAGAAGATATTATTTTACTCCTTTTTGGCATGATGTAAAAGACAATTTTTCATGATTTGAGCCAAAAGCTGACAGTTCTTTTTAACTGTCTATTGGGCAAAGCACCAACACATCACACTTTGCTTGTCCAAACGAAGTATGAAGCCCTGTGAATCAGTGAAAGATAAAAGCTATGCAGAAACAATATGAATAATTTCTGTCTACTTTTTTTATTCCAAAAAAAAAAAGTAAACGACAGTGCTTCTTACGGTTCTGACTCAGGCCATCCTCTTTTTTCTTTCTGCGTGGGACAGCATCAATCTCGGCTTGGGTTGGGAGCGTGGGGGCATTGTCTGGTGGCAAGATGGCGGTGACGTCTAACTCACTCGAGCTCAGATCAAGCTTCTCATCCTGCAGAACCAAAACAAAAAAGATGGACCATTTAAGTAGTCGTGGACCATTTACGAAGTCATCATGTAGAATTAAACCTACTGAATTGCCTTGTGTCAGTAAACAAATGTCACCAGTGATTTCAAGTTGGTTACTGAGGTGGAACATTGTCCACTTTGTCCATTTTTACCTTTGAACTATGGTAACAAGCACAGAGGGTTTGAAGTGCACACTGTAGCACATACATCATCCTTGTGCTTTGTAAGACATCACATCCCAATGCTAAACTACGATGACTATTAGCTCCTCCAGTAGGAAACCACTACAAAATTGATCATCACTTCTGGTAACGTGATTCTGTCACCAAAGTAAACAATGCACCAAGTGATGACGTTTGGAAGGATCGGATCTCCACACAATCCTTCCCACGGTCGCGATCAGGGTTGCTTCGGATCTCAGTTCTCAACCTCATTTTTCTGACTTGCTGTCCTGCTGACATTCGGTGTGCAGAAACTGGTCAAAAGCCTCTATGTCCTTGTCAGAGACCAGTTTCAAATCAGTGTCAAATTACTTCAGTCTGAATTGAAGCAAGAAGAATGCCAATGATTGACACTGTATCATGAAGTCTTGCATTCCTTGGCTCGCTCACTGGACAGTTTTTTTAACGACTCCTATACATGCAGGAGATGAACATTAAGTGATGCAACACAAAATGCTGACAAGTATGGCAAAATCACAGCGTCACTGAAATCATCCGATGAGTGTTTCTGGAAAAAACATGCGTCATGATGCAAACAGCTAGAAGATCAAAATGCAGCCACCATGAGAGATGACACAGCAGGAACACAAATCTTTTGATATGAGTAAACACTGTCAAACAAAGCTGCACCCTTCACTTGCAGAACCCTGATAATTTCAACTGGCAGGTACAAAAATCAGTTTCTACTCATCATTACTGTCAATAATCCTGCCAAGACAGACAGCTGTGATGTCAATAACACAGCCAGACAATACTCGCGGAGAGACAGATAATGTGCAATCAAACAAGGCATTGGCGTCGCATGCGTGCTCACATGCACCAACCAAACTAGCCCTCTACAGAAATGAATGACAGCAAGTCACCTCCCGGTACCAGGTGCTGTTCAAAAGGGGTGCAGGCATACATGTAGTTGCATGTCCACATGATTGCAGGCTGTCGTTATGCTACTCAGCAGTCCCCCACGCATGACTGATATCTAAGCCAGGACGCTGCCACAATGTCAATTCCCCGTCAGACTGCTGACCAAAGCTCCATCTCACTGTAAAAATGTACACCACCTTCCAAGCACCCACCAAAGAAGAAGAAAAAAAAAACACCTGTTGAACTAGCCCAGGGTAATTGCTAGTTCTGCCGTGACTCTATACACATGACCAGTGCTGCCATTCTGTCGGGCTCCAGCTAATCAACTCTCTCTTCTGGCCCCTTCCTTCCAGCTGATTCCCCAGGTACTCGTTAAAGGCTTGGTCACATAAGACCTACATTCCTTGGTTTGTCCTCAATACAACTGAACTTTTGAACTTTCATGCGTTCCATTTTTATTCTGACATCCACTCTGAACAGTAAGATTGGAACACGTGCAGTCAGGAGTTTGCTGTGAAAACAGTTCCACCAATTCTCTCATAGATAGCCAAGATTCTTCTTGGAGGCATTAGTTCAGGACATTTTTGGAAGTGGCAAACCCTTGTATTGTGCTTCTCATGTCAATACTGATCAAAGATTTGTTTTCCAAAATCCAACTTGTCAAAATCAAGATCAAAATTCCCTTGGTACTTGGCCTACTCATAAGCTCAATGGGAAATTAGTCAGAATAACACAGCAATGCAGATGGTAACCCTTCCATGCTGAGCTTCAAATGCTTGGCTGACCTGTACCCTTGGCCAATGAAATGGAATCACATCCTAGGTGTGCTGAAGAGCTAAAGGTCGTTGAACTCCATCTAAATGCATTTAGGAAATGAGTTTTGATCCAACATCAGTCTCCTTGGTAACACAGGAAGTCTGCAGCTTTATCCCTGGCTTTCCATGGGTGCTGGGTACCGGTTGTTGTGACTTTTATCCCAAAGGCCAAACTTTCCATCGTTTATGGCTTTTCGTTTCAGAGCACTCTTCTGTGAGTGTTCAGATGTGATAACATACATAATCTATATGAATAGAATTGACATTACAAAGGGTCTTTGGAAAGTAACGGTATAAATTTTAAACACGTGTAGACCCTGGGATTTTTCGATGAGTACTTTATCTGATGCATTAAAAAAAGGTTGGCAGTTGTGGCTCTTGTAATAGACTTCTTGATGAATCACAATCCCTACCATGTGAATAAGAAAAACCACACATTTGGTCATATTTTTGGAAACCTCCTTAGTAGCTACACTCAAGGCCTTGGGCAGGAATTCAGATGAAGTGGAAATAGGCAGAGCTCATCTTGGACGCTCAGTTTAAAAGAGTTTCCTGCAGTAGTATTTGAAATGAAGATTGCTTCAAATGAACCGTCAAAAAGCTACCTTTCAATTTAGGAACATATGAGCTGTTTCTGAGTACTGCCGGAAATACTAGTGCATCCCTTTCCAACAAACTCTATGTGCATACATATATGCTCTATCTAAAAACAGGAGAAAGGACAATGGAACATTTCAAACAGAACATTTCAAATTTTCAAGATTACTCCCCGAGTCTGACAGAGACGTACATGTACTAACCAGAAATTAACAAACTCACTGAAAACTGAACCCTGAGCCACAAGTGAGACATGAAATGTTTCAGCCGTTGCTTAGCAAGCTCTGGAACATGTACATAACTCAATATAGATGAAGCCTAATCAATAGAAATACACCCCTTCCTGTCTTGTTACGAAACATGCATAGTAATGATCAACCCAGTGGGTGAACTGTGAGAACATGGCTACTGCCATCACAGGTAATATCAATGTCTTGATTTCAAAACCAGGGTATCTCATTTTAGTCCCAAAACACAAGCGACAGAGAGTTGAGTACAACCTTAAATTTATGGACATATCTAGAAATTAAATGACCACTGAATCCTTTTGGTCCAGTCATTTTGTTTTCTGATGCATTACGCTTCAACTTTTCAGTTTATCATAGATATCATACAACAGAGAAATTAGACGAATTTTAAGAATACAGCACAGCAGCACAACATTTTTATAGGGCACAGAGGCAAATGATACTGTGGGGATTTCAATCTGAGAGGGAAAAGGTCACAGACTGACATAGGAACTTACCCAGACCCAGGAACTACCTGCCAAGGCTACGAGGGTATAAGGCCGAGGATGTGCGTAAAACAAGCTGGGGGGGGGGTTATGGCCGAGATTAAGACTTGCCAAGACTACAAGGGTATAAGGCCGAGGATATGCGTACAACAAGCCGGGGGAGGGGGGGTTAATGGCCGAGATTAAGACTTGTGGCTGGGAAAACTGGGAGTGTGGTAAGAACTCAATAGAACTCAAGCATGTTTTAATAGACAAGGGTTTACCCTTCAGCACTGCTATATTTGTGGCTATGAGCCTGCAAGGGAGACAAACAACTTTGACACAACTGCTTGATCAAGACTCATATTCACCACTCTGTAATGAAATTGCAGATACTTTGGCCACTGGATTGATTCCATCCACTTTGACTAGAAGCGCCCCCTTACTGGCAACAAAGAGACAGGTTGACGGTGGGAAAAAAATCAACTCCATGCAGAGCACACACGTGAAGACCTTAGATTTCAACAGAAATCGGAAGCGCGAGCGCAGCGCATCCTGTGCCACATGTAAGAGTACACTGTGTTCCCCTCCCCCAGGGATGTCATTCCTACATGTAACGGTACAGAAAAACAAACTCTCTTGCTGAACGGAGCAGATATGGAATCCTTGCATGACTACTGCCTCTGAGGTGAGAGTCAGAGAGGTATGACAGACACTGTCAAATGTGTATCCGGTGCCCCATGCAGATGCACATTCTGATTAAAATCACTCGTGTGTGTACTCCCTGCCATGTGTACCTAAAAGCAGAGATTCCCTTGCCGATTCAAATGCGAGGCGGATCGCCTTATGAATTTTAGTGGCTTTTTAGTCACTATTGCTGCCTCACTGGTGAAAGAATCCTATGTATTTTGCTGTTAGTTAATTTGCAGAAGCTCTCGTAAAAGGTCCCAAACCCTCACCTATTGCAGCTAATGACGTTTTTCTCATTTGCTCTTCATGTCAGAATATGTAAGTATGTACATGTAAATTGAAGCTTTTAGTAATTTTCCCTAGAGGAAAGGCTAAGGTAAGGTTCTGTGGGTCAACCAAGTAGACAAGGCATACTCACCCAAGTGCCTTCTTAAGATGTCAAACACAACCAATATACAATCCAGTCTCTGCTTCTGGAGATCTTTGCAAGAGAGCACTCTCAAGCAAATCCAGCACTTACAAGTGAGTCAAGTGCAAGCAAGACATGTAATCCAACTGACATTTGACTTGAAGCTTGGTGGACAAACTGATGAAAATCAGCCTTGGAGTGTTGCCTTAAAAAGAGGCTCTCCAATAAGACAGCTGGACGAAGAATAGCTATCATGCTGATGCAGATTCAAAAGACACATAAGCTTGTACGGTAAATTATGATCTTACGTAGGAACAAGAGTACAGTGGATTGGGAGAAAAACTATTCGTAGACTTCTTTCCTGCTCTCTGAAGATTCAGCTGTAACTTGGACCAGATTGGGAAACGGAAGTGCTATTCAGCGGCTTGAAGGATACTATGCTGAGTGAATGAACCACAACAACACTTCCTAAACGCAGGCACACTCACCACAATCTGTACTAGTAACACGTCACCTAGGAATCAGGCTCATTGTTGGAGGGGGGGGTATGGAGGGAATTATGATGATGCGATGAGTTTCAACAGTAGATGTAAGCCGAAAGCACCTTAAGAGCTGAATCATGCAGAGTCACTGTGGAAGGTGTTGCATGTCTACAGAGTATGGAAGGAGCAGGGTTGATCTCTGAGAGGTGGTCTGGCCTGCGTCAAGGTACGGGATTAGACTTGTCTCAATCCATTTATTAGCCATGGGTAAACTCTGACCAACGGAAGGCTTGACGAAGCAATCAGTCCCAGACTCTCAGTGTCTGTCAACTTGTATTATTCGCCAGCAAAAACCTTGTCTGACAGCTAATAGTATGCACAATAAATCCTGGCACATCCAAAGAAATCATATCATATTCCATCTCTAGATGACTACATCTGTCTATCTGTCTATTAATAATCAGGATTTCTTCATTAAAAGAGCCCATTTATTTAATATCCTAAAACATGCTGTATTGTGGATATAACACAATAAAGTAGGGTGAATCAGAGTGGCTTACATAGTACAGCGGTTACTCATTTATGGTTCCGAAAGCTAAGGGGTTCCAATCTTGTCCTTGTTTCATTCACCCATCAGAAGAAAGGTCATCATTGAATGATTAATCAGTTTCATATTTTTGACAGAGGTCTCTTGATGAAAATGAGCTCAGTTCAGTGTGTGTACACAGACAAGCCTCAACTACTGGCATGCTCCTATCATATCTAGCAAGACTGTTGGCTAGTAGTTTTGGCTGTGTACAATGTACATAGATAGACTGTCCTTGTTGAAGCTGATTATGTAATGAGAGTGTCCAATAAGGCTGCTCAATGCATCATCTCCATGAAAACTTAAAAAAAAACAACAGTGTCTCCCTTATTATGAAACGCCATGCAAAATCATTACTATCATATGCCGAATATCAGGGCGCCACGTTTGTTCTGTTCACTGTTGCTTACCTTTCAAATAAGTGGTGTTATGGTGTAGTTTGGTTTGTTATGATTGTTGCCATCAGTGCCTTAATGGGGAACAAGCTTTGAGACTGAAAAAACCAAGCAGTGGCAACATGCATGAGCTAACAAAATCAGTCATTCTGGTATCAAGGGGTTGAGCCAGAATGGCCGAGTGCCTTGCACAAGTTTACCACGCTATAAAAAACCCTGTGTCTGGCTAGAGGTGGTTTCCTGCAGGGGCCAGCTGGTGCAATCAGATGTCTGCAAGTTCTCCTGCAATTTTTTTGGGGGGGGAGGGGGGAGCCTTGTCTGGGAGGTTGGCATATGGTTCATGTATGACACACACGTACATTTAATGAGTGACATGGGCTTGATCTGACTTTCAGTGAAGACAAACAGGGTGGGGGAATCAGGGCGTGCAAGACTGAGAGTCGAAGCAATTTTCAAAAGCCCGCTCTCCCAGTCAGTTTCCAATCAGACAATTTATCAATTCTGAAAGGTGCTTTGTTAGAATGAACTTTCAAGATGATGACCGATTGTGCAGACTTGTTTGAAAGAGCTAAGCTTTGAACTGCTGAAACTTTATTTCATGTGTATCAACACTTTGAGGTCGATTGACTCTCTTTACCTGTAAAGTTGTCCAAAACACCTGCAATAAATTGTCTGCTTGCCTTCATAGTAGATTAACAGAGACAAATGCAAAAGTATTTTCAGCTTTCTAAACATCCACCAACTGTCCAGGTCTTCCCAGGGGACAGTCACTCCTGGTCACAAGACCATAGTGTCATTTAGTGCTAATGGCCTGCATAATTTCAAACTTACCACAATCACGTCAGCGGACTCAGTCTGTACTTCAGGATCCCTCGAGTCAATCGGTGACGACGTGGCACTTGGACCTGCCAAGAGTGCAAGACAGAAGCACAATTCCATTTGTTGATGCAAACACACATTGTACAAATCTGGTGACTGAACTCTGCGTAAGTTTAACCCTAACTTGGGAAGTCATGTGTGAAAATTATTCTGAAAACTGGCCAATCATGACTGTCACGGTCCAGCTAGGAGGACGAGTCACTGAGTATTATGGACTAATCATCACATTCAAATCAAAGCAACACCATAAAAAACACGAGCATACTGTCAGCACATGCATATATCTCTCGCCCTTGTACTACATTACCTAGCAACACTACTGAGGAAGTTGGTCAAATATTCAGTCAATCACCCCAACCCATGTCAAATGCATCAAGATTCAAAGTGATTTGCTGCTGTGATTTCAAATGATTAATGCAGAAGTACATGAAATTTCTCCACTTTTATTTTGCACAGACCTCAACGTCTCTTCGAAGTACGTGTAGACTGTGCCCTTGGTTTACTGCACAGACAGGGATTTGGGGGATTTAGAAAGTTACGTGGTAAGAATGCTATATTTTAGGGTTAAGGAACTTCCAATCAGAAAGCAGAGACATGTGGGAGGCTCAACACAAACCATCAATGTCTTTCTAATGATGTAAATCTTGGTGATTCTACACTTACACTTCTCCAATCTGCATCACTGCCAATGTTAAAACTAGATAGGTGAGTTGATAGCGCAACCATGGAAAGCACTACAGGTTGGAAGCTTAAATCCCACTTCAATCAATTTATCTGTCCAATCTTATATCAACTTGAAGTTGGACTTCAAATGTGTCTATCTATTTGGTTGATCTGTTATTGCTTATTTCATTTGAATAGGAACAAAGAAAACAGCACTGAACTGTTTTTGTCTGGAGTTACGCCACCTTTGTATCTCATATCAGCAAAAGGATCACAAAATATGTTTCTTCTGGCATATACTGACCATCAATCGACAGAGGTTCATTGTTTCAGAATAAGGATTCTCCATTTCAGAATTTATGACAAATCACTGCAGACAGCCTGGTAGTATTGGACAAACACTTTCACCCTTTTAAAAAGGGTTTCCTGCTTTCAAACACTCAGTTTGCTAAATCTGAGTTAACCAAGAGTCTCCAGTTGCTGACAAGTACACCTGTGTTTGACACTCAATTATTAGTAATCAAAAGTACTACAATGGAATGCCGCTACAACGAACACGACGGGGTCCATGCTAAATGTTCGGTACAGCGGTCGTTCTGTATAGCAAAAATTAAGTGCCAAACGTTGCGTTGCCATAATGAATAGCGCCCTCTCTTGTCTAACTGAAGTGCACCCTCTTGTGAAATTATGATTCGCTGTTTTCGTGGTGTTTTGCCGTTGCATTCATGTTTGTGGTTTCTAGAAATGTATTTGTTAATTAATTTTTGTTTTTATTCAATCTTGAGTTACAAAATTGATATTTAGTTTATCCTATAAGTCGTGAAGCTACTGCTCAGGATTGATCTCTGATGCATGCTTTGGCAAATCTCGGTTGATTTGCAACTGCATAATGCTTGCTAGGTTTGGTGCACAAAATATTGGGAGCCACGGACGATGTTCGGTACGGCTGAATGTTCAGTATAGCGGTGTTCGGTATAGCGATGTTCCACTGTATGTATAATTGTATATCACGAAGTCTCTTCATGGCAAGATCGCTTAATGTTGTGCACCAACATTACTTTAGAAACCCCAGGTACAGGAAAACAAACATTGAACTTTCAATGTTAACATTCACACCATTACAGCAATGGATAGCATGCCCACCTTCAAAGCCTGAGAAAGGACAAATTACACTTCTTGGCAAGAGGTGTGACATTACTGCTAGAAATAGGTTCCGCATACAAACACACTTGTCTCTTTCTTTCTTTCTTTTTCTTTCTTTCTTTTCTGGTTTTTTTTTGCTGACTAATGTCAATGTCAGCCTCATTCAGGATGAATTAATACACGAGGAATAAGAAATACAAAACTTCACAGTAAGTGAAACAATAACCTCATTGTCAATTACTTATTCTGTATGAAGGTACACATGGATTGTCTTTGGATATTAACAGAGCTGCAACAAACAATTTTAATAGTGAGTTTGGGTGGAGGACAAGGGGATTGTGGGGTGCTAAAGCACATTTTCATGTACAATAACCTTCTACCTATCCATTGGCTGAATTCAGCAGCATGGCAATGTCTTGCAATCAAACTAAAACTATCACCGGAAAACATAACGAGACGTGGTAATGTTCAAGATGAATGCATCCATGGCTGGGAAACATGACATCATGCATATAGACTGCAGCTTCATACAGGAATAGGAAGACATTAATGCGCAACACTTCCTGTTTATTTCCCTGATATTTTCCATTTCCAAATGGCATATTTTGAAGGCAATCTGTACTCGGCACAAATTCTCATTTCATGAAAATGAAATCCAGCCCCAGATGAACATATTGTTTGTCGCAGTACTCATATGCTTGAAAGCTGTATTCATGTTTGAGTACCTGTGCTCATTACAGTACTCACTTTACTCATCATAACCCTGAAAAAGAGTTTATTACACTGAGTGGGAGGGGCGTGTTGGCAGTCCCATGGATGATTTTTCACTGATTTTAAAAGATAATTGTCAACTATAACTGCATGCATCTACAAACCATGCAAAACCTTCATGCCCTAAGAATACCAACCAGCATGCAAAAGCAATCAGCTAACGAGCCCTTTGAGACTCCAAACTCACTTACTCCTGCAAAAAATACATATAAACTGGCCAATTCATATTCAATTCAAGATTGGACGTCAAAGGCCAAACCTTGATCTGGTGATAGCTCCACAGATGCTTTTGAGGACTTTGGAGTTAGAATATCTTTGGCATCGTGGAATTCCTCCTCACTGTTGACATCCAGATTGCCCATGCTTTTACTGTGGGATGAACCAACAGAGAAACAAGTCTCTTTACAACATTATACCACTTGCTTGATTCTCTGAAGTACTGTCTCTTAAACCCAACTCTGTGAGCATTCTTACCACAAACCTTCCTAAATTCTCCCAAAGCCAAGCCCCCCCAGGAACTCAACGGCACATCAACAGTATATTATTTGCGTAAGGCTCAGTTTTACATAAGGCTTGTTGGGCTCTACCTGCTTCACTCCTGCAGCATCCTCCAAACCTACTGGATCTGGATGAATCTCCGAAGGTTAAGGTTAAAGACTTATCACTGCATGGATTAAATTTGGCTTCTGTATTAAGAACTACTTAAAACAAGACATCCATGAACACCATTTCATGGATGAACTTGGCTGCGGAAATATCAGTGGGCACAGAGGAAACTAGCACCTTTCATTTTTTTTCCTTTACAGGCAAGATTTAGATGCACTCTCACGGAATCCAATTATACCTCTTCAGAGCTACCTTGCATAATTCACCTATGGGACAGGTACATGCACTGTTTGACTATTTTTCATGGCCTGAGTTGCAAAACTGTCACACCCACATACAAATGGGTCAACCACTCTGGGAAATCCCTTACTCAGCAAAACCCAACAGTGTCTTGGGTAAAAACACAGCATGTGCACACTCACGCCCTCATAGTGAGGGGTACACATATATATATATGCATAACCTGAACAGAGATAAACACTTGCTAGTAGTTGAGCATTCCTTTGTTTTCAAGTCATGATTAGAATTTGCTGAACATACTCAGCTTCTTGCCAAAAATGCTCTTTTAAGCTCAGCTTTTCATCACTTCTTTGCCTGTTCCTCTTCATTTTGCTACTGATGACCATAAACTAAACATGTCCTTGATACCATCTTTAAACCAAGTGAGGGAACTGTGTGGAGAGTCCACACAACGCTTCTGCAACCTGCACTGTCCTGGCATCTTTTGTTGTCTGGTCCACACGAGGAACACCACGCTTGTCCATGGAATCTTTATGTGGTTGGCAGACAAGCAGCTACAATGGCATTTAGGGCCAGTTTAAGACTCTTTCTGTTGAAGGGGAGTTACAAACCTGTGCAAGGACGCCATGCATTTCATGGATAATTTCTCTTACCTTCTTGGGGCCAAAGCCAGGGGCAGTCCTTCCAATACTTGGGACTCCTGAGAGGGGCTGATAACCTCGTCGTTAGGGTCTGGTCCCCAGCTGTGACGACGCACCTTCTCCTCTGGCTCCAAGAGGTCCTCAGATGATTCGTCTGGGGAACTGGAAACAATTGAAAGACGAACACAATGTAAGTCAGGGGTTATGGAAGTAAGATCATGGTTACAAATTCTGCATGCATTCAGTCAAAAGCCAATCTGCCCCGAGCTGAGGTGAACCCCCAATCGGCGAAAGAAAGACATGTGGTTACAAGCAGGTTCTTGCATGCATTCTGCATGTGCACAAAGACCATGACCATACATGCCGGAATAAATTAGTTACGCGTACTCAGTGTACTCCACATCAAACGCGCATATAGTTACACGCCTCATGGCACACCTATGCGGTTCTGCTCAGAGCAGATAATGCTGAAGAGATTTTCTGCAAAGAATTCTCTGGAAGATGTCTACAGCAATGTGGATATCAAGTACATTTAGATATATGTACCAGGGGAATGCAGTCCATACCAAATGAAAGAGCTAAAAAAATAACCAAACAGGGAAACAAAGGAGATTTTCTAACCAGTCACATTACAATGAAAAAGGATGTGCTCAATCAGACTGTCTGAAAAGAAATTAAAAACTCGTACAAGAGTTCAAGTGCTATTTCCAGTAGAAAAGCACTAGTACAATAATAATACTATATATATCAACAGTGTATTGTAAGCTAAACACTAGACACTTATGACAGCTCATGCAATACTTGTATGTAGCAGATGAGAAGCAAACAATAACAGAGCACTTTTGGCATCTATTTCATACACAGGGCAAATTGAACCGCTTAAAAAACATTTCGGTCCACAAGAATTTTTGAAGCATTTTCTAAAGAGTGCAATGCATGCAGAAAATTTGAGGCAGCCTGTTCTATATCCAAATGAATGGGCAATGGTGCTTCACTACTACGAATGATGATGAAAAAGCTCTAGACTTTGATTCGAGATGCTGAGTCAATTCATTCACCTGCTTCCCTCTAACCTGGATGGTGACACCTGACCTGGGGCCGCAACCTCAGTCCTACTACTGTCGCTCACGCTGACGTCATTCAAGTGGATCTCGACGGGCTGGCTTGCAGGCCTTTCCTGGGCCGATGGGGGGCCCTCCTCTATTCCCGGCACATCCTCGGTAAACTCCTCCTGGAAGGATGAGGACTCATCATTGGCCAGCAGGGGACTGTCAGATGGGGGATGGGTGGAGGGGACCTGCTGTTCCTCCCCCTCCTCTTCCTCCTCCTCCTCTTGCTCTGCCTCTTCATCACTTGGGAGGTAGCGTTCTGTGGCTTGCTCTCTCATTGGAATGTCTTCTCGGACAACCACAAAAACAAACAAAATTAAACTTCCAATCAAGAGCTGGTCAGCAGTGGTAACATTTACCAATAAAATCTGGATCATTTCTCCACTGCTGATTAACTGCATGTTGGATTGAAGCAGGTACTTTTCACCCAAATTTTGCTCATCTTCATTATCAGTGTCAATTCCCCTTTTTTTTGGCCGAGCCTCCACAATCCTCTGTTCAGGAAATCAAAAGCACATTCTTCAAGCTGCAACTTTCAGGAGTGCAATCAAGCCAAATGCAAAGTAACAGAGGCTAGACTCTAGCTTTCTCAGTCCAGCAAAATCTTCCCAAACCTCTAACTGGATTTTGAAAGACAGTAAAACATACAATTTGAGACTTGGAGGTATTTTAATACATGCGTTTATGGAATCGTGCAGGGATGCTAAGCTCACAAATTTGGCTTGTATTAAGTGGATTTACCTTTAACCTAAAAATGGCAATAAGGAAATTCCAAATTCTGGCTAAACGTCTAACTCATCTAAAAGCATTAATTCTCCATTTTAACAGCCTTATGTTTTTTCTACATTGTGTACTTTTTATCTAAATCAAAACAAAGTACCCGTCACCTCCCACAAGCGTTAAACCTCAATTTAAGCAAGCTGTGGTAGCCAACTCTAAGTAGAGGTAAATGCACCATCCTTGACACAAGGTCATTTTTTCCTGTTCTGACACCTTGGCAACCAAGGATATTTCTAGACCCAAGTACCAACGAACTCTGATTGCATAACACCATTGAATGAAACAATGTCTTTGTAATAATTTGACCAAAAAAAAGACAAAAAATGTAGCAAATTGGTCATCACGCTTTTTGACAGGAATTACATTCAATGACGGCGCCAATTTTTAGCCATGCTGAACAGGCTGTTTGCACTGACTTCAAAACTCATCAATCCATAGGTTGCCATCTTTAAGCATTAGCAACAATGGCTATGGCTTTTCAGTACACTGTGTGAAAATGGTAACACCAAAGCCACAGCCACAAAATAACCAATTTGGATACTGCTGACATCAAATGGTGGACCAGAAAGGATAATGGGATATGTGCAAAGATCTACTGAGCATTCTTGCTTGTGGCTTTTTTGTTGTGGCAGCAGGCTGTAGTGAAATGATGAGTCCCGCAACTTCAATAGTCAACTGGCTGATACCTTCTTTTTCACACGAAGTGTTGCATGAGATAGCAAATTATTGCATATAACTCTGCACATCCAATGCACCAAAAACATTTAAAGATCATGTCCCGAATTCATGCTCATGTGAAAAATCCAAATCACATACTCCGCTCTTTCAACTGCTTGAAAGTGGAGGAGGGGAGGCAAACCAAACGAAATGCTTGATTAGATTATGGGGCATGCTGGTCTGAATGCGAGAACATGGGAGAAGGAATGTGATCATGTACGATGATGTGCATTTCATGAGTCCATGACCTGCGTGGAATGCAACAGGAACCAGGTGGGAAAGGGAGAGGAAAATTACCAATCAGATTGTGTTAAGGGTTCACCTCTGTATTTTGAAGTTGAAACAAAAAAGTTAATCTTGGGTGGGGAATGCTCAGGGGAAGAAGCATGAGTTTCAAGGCTGACTTTTTTGGGGGGTCTCAATGGGTGTGAACTAAGGCACGTTCAGACCAAATATTTGGGGGGGGTGGCAGTGGGGTGGGACAACATAAAGGAGGAAAGGCACCACCACCCCTCCCCCCCAAAAAAGAGAGCATCTTCATGGTTTTCTCAGTGAAGACTACATTTAGGGACTCTTTTAAATGCTTTGAGGAAGAAAGGAAATGAAGTTATCACTAACAAATCTCCCTTGTCATTTTTTTTTCAAGAAAAAGAAAATCTGATGTGCAATGCAGATAAAGGAACAATTTGAACCTTGATGTAACTTATAAGCCTTTCAACCACACAATACTTGTCACTGTAATGAGGGGAGGGCAAACGTAAACCAGCCAATGTAGAATGATACATGTAAATTGATACTTAAATGCAAGAAAAAGATGCATATTCTTTTTAGAATAAAGAGCAATGCTCCCTGCATTTATGGATCATCTCTGAAACCAAAATGGCTTGATATTGGCTGTAAAAGGACAAAAGACCATGTGCTTTCATTTCATGATGCAGCATGGGCCCAATTTCACGGCACTGATTAGCAGGTAGCAGAAAAGTTGTGCTAACTTTAGCAGAAAAATGCTAAAGCACTATTTCATGGTTGTGCTTGGCGTGGTTTGGCTAAAGCTTCAGCATGCATAGAGATTTCTATTGTTACATCACTAACTTGAAGCAAATTTTCCTCTTGGAGACCGTAAGCAACCTACTGGTTACAGTCTCCATGAATACGTGGAGCCTCTGCAAGCGTGAAATCATGTGCTAAGCAGCACTGTGAAATTGGGCCCTGATATCTGGCCTTTTATGGACAGCCCCCTCTAGTGTCAAGTGCTGGTGTACAGTTTTCCTATGCAGTGGTAGATGCTCATGCCTTCTGATTGTGTTAAGCCTGGTTTCCAAACTGACATAAAGAGAAGCAGACAGAATCAGTGAACAGTCTACACAGATGTGGTGTCATATGGAAACACTTTACATCATGACCAATGCAAAAAGTTGAAAAATCTGATAGTGTTCAAGTTTGCTAACTGTCTGTATCTGAGAACCTCAAAGTTGGCCAGTTTCCTCCAAAGAAATTAAACTCATTTTGTGAACAAATAGCTGACAATAAACATATCTCAAACTGAAGTACTGATTTAGCATCAAAAAATGACATAACTGCCTTCAAAGGCATTCATGCAGAATTTTTTGTGGAGTTTCAGAGGCCATTTTGTTCTCATTATTTTGTGGAATGATATCAAACACCGTCTTTTTCTGTGTCTTGACATGTTGCGTACCTGTAAGCGTTCATTATGACTATATGGAAACCAGGCTACATTTTTAAAAAAATCTGACAGGGTTCAGAGCTGTTAGCATGTTGCACTGTGCAGTCTCTGATGTTGTGGTTTTTACAATGAAAAGGTATTACAGCCGTGTCTCCATCTGATGAATGTAGAAGCAAGAAAATAAAGGCATCAAACTAAATATAAATGGCTAATGAGGAGCAGTGCTGAACCTGTGCACAGCGTTTCTCAAGCTTTGCATAAAGTAAAATGTCCTCCACATGTCATTTCAGAGCGCCCTCTATAGATCCAGATTCTAAGTTGGAAAATAATCCTCTACAGTCTATCGGTTCTATTTACTCTAAAAGACTGTTAAACCAGTGTTAAAAATTTGACTTCTAAATCAAAACACCATTCAATATCGGAACTAGGCTCTACAAAAAAAATGCACATCATTAGAAAAAGATTTCTCACTTTAAAAGCAACCACTAATCGTACTGTTGAATACTATCGGCAAACAAGCATTACAAGATGCAAGATCCTTTGTGCTAATACAGTCAAAGAGTTTGGGTAACCCCTTGTTTTGACCTGATTGAAATCACAATCACAAGTGACCAGCGATCTATCTGCATGCCAAACTTTTGTTATCTAAGCTGCCAATGTTGCAAAGTGGTTTCTCCTAAGAGCACCATACATCTTCTGGATACTTGCAAATGCAATGCAAAAGATGGTTTGTGCTCACATATATGTAAGGTATGTAAGTACTGTACATATCCCACAAGTCTCTTTGATGCACTGTCTCTAATGTTGGGTATGCCCAAAGCAGACACTGATTGTCTGTGTCTATGGCTGTTCACCAAGGCAAGTTAATGGCAAGCACAGGAGCCATAGCCCATAAAAGCCCAATTCAGACAAAATCTGACATCAAAGATGGCACATTGCAAAGGATTGTGAGAAATGTCCCATAGAGTAAAAAGGACCAATCAATGGAATGAGAGCAGCCAACTGGTTATATTTTGAGACAAAAATGGGGCGCATGATGGCAACTTAGCACTTGTGCTCAAGCTATGATCATGATGCTTTATGTCAACTGATGTATACAGTAAGCGGCTACAAGGCAAGAATTCCGCTGACATCATACCTAAAATGTGCATGTATGGAGGCGGAGTCAACACAATTCCTATCACAAGAAAAATGAGAAGAGTCAACAACATTAGTCAAAGCTTTCTTCAGTCATTTTCTGCTGATTGAGTGAAGATCAACTGAATCTGGTTGAACCATATATATAAATATAAAGTTCCCAAACAAAAGGAACAGATTATTTTACAATAAACAGGTGTACTGTCATTTTAACTGTAACAGTTTTTTGTACATGTGTTAATAAGACAGCTCCTAACAGCTTTCCAAAAGGCCAATCCCCCTCCATCAATTTACACTACGAAAATAGCAGTGCAGTTTTCTTGGTCAAAGATGCACAATGCCATTTAACATTTGGGGAAGACTGCAGTAGCATGGAATTAGCACCAGAGAGTACATTGCCTCCTGATCAAATGCAGGTTATGAGTTTCAACACTGGTTCTTTACCGCTGAGTGGAGAAACCTTTTGCACCCACCCATCCCCCAAAATCCTTTCTTCCACTACATCAGAAATATAAAAGGCTGGCATTTGTGGAAACAAAATACTCCAAAATTTGCTGAGCTTGGGTTAGGGTCATCTGTAATATCCAAAAACCTGCTCAAACCACTTATCACTGTTACATGACTTTACAAAAAATGATTTGAAAATGCTGTTCAATTAAGCCCTGGACAATGCTATCTGTAGAAGGACCCATAGTTTGGATCTAAAAAACCCTCATTCAAATTAACTGAGCATCACATGCAGTTGTCAAAAAATGTATTGATCCTTCTTATTTGTGGTGTGCTCCAACAAAATGAGACCGGCTCAAAATCAAGTTTCCTAATGTCAATAATACTGGAGCAGATGAATCACCAGGCCAGGATCAGGGCACGGGGGTGGAAAAAACCTTCTCTGAGACAAAAAAGGAAAAAAAGGGTGGAAAATAATAAAATACCTAAAGTACGCACACCAATACCACTGTAAACAATGTAAGTCACATGTAATGTTTCATGGTTTCTGCTTGTCCACAAAAATGAGACATTAAAAAAGTCCCCCCCCCCCAAAAAAATTCCTGGATCCACCCTTGATCACTTTACATTTACAACACTGCTGCTGCTGTCAGTTACATTCTTGAAATGTTGGAAAACCTTGCAGTATTCAAGATCTAAGCACTTCGTATCTTAATTGAAAGAAAACAGTAGCCTCAATACCTGGGGACCTTAGTCTCACTTTCTGGACACAGGTCACACTGAGATGGCAGTAAATGGACAGACATGTATTGAATTTGACGCTTATTAAATTTAGGTTGGCCAACACCGCTTGCAATCTGCTTTTACTCGGTATTAAAACCAGTCATTTCTGGTTGGCCTGTTCTGATGGGTAATAAATGCCACTGGTTAGAGTTCATAATACCGATAGTCCTGACCCCAAAATAACAAGGAAATTTTATGGCCTTTGAAAAAATCCCCCCAAAAGTCACGGTCAGTCTAGTATAACTGACCATCAGTAAATATAACGACCATTTTGTAAGTCTGAAATTGTCTCCTGCAATGAGCAGGAAGTCATTTGTCAAGGAATTAAATTGCTGGGTAATAACCTATTTGGTGCCACGTGCGTGTAGTCTACGTACATGTATAGATATTTCAGATAAAGAACATCACTCTACATGTGGAAAGCATGACACAATATCCTGATCTAGAATTAGCTGTGTGAAAAAAATAAGATTTGAATGAGTTCAGATGATAAATGATTGGTTACAAGCACACAGGTCACTCGCAAATAGAAAAAAATTGAGAGCGACAAAAGCTTTTTTTTTTACATTTCAAAAAAGAAAATGCTCTTCACAGTACAGGTAACTTGAGAGTTTTTAAGGTTGAGATAATAGCACTATGTAAAAATCAATGTTAACTTTGATGAATATTATCTTTGCAGGCTTTTTCTCTTCCTTTGGTAACTGCTGGGTAAATATACATGGAATATTTTTTAGCCTTTTTCCCTGTCAAAACATTGTGGCTAATCAATACTTTGTTAAAAGCCCCCCCCCCAAATCCCAGCGAGAGAGGAAACTGACAGTCATTCCCACTTCTCATTTGGCAATTATTCATGCAGTGTTGGCATGTACTGGCCAATTCGGAATAAAAAAAAATTAGCTTGCCGATCACGTCTTGCCCTGACAGGCCTGGCGGAAGATGACAAGATGAGATGATGTGTTAAAAATTGTATAATTGGCTGACAGGGCAGCGTGTACTTCTTGGTGCGCTGAGGAGAGTGTGACTTCCCACGCTGCCTGAACATCTGAGAGTATGATGTGCAATGGGGGGGTGGGCATTTAAAGTGATGCCGATGGGAACTGGCAGCCCAACAACGATGGGAAAGGAAAAAAGACATCACAAAATATAATCCTTCTTCTATCTGTCATTTCTCCTCGGGTGCTTTCTGAGCTCTTTTTAGGATGGTGCGATGGGGAGGAGGTTGAGGTTAAAAGCTGACAGTCAAAATTGAACCTTCCTACTTTGCATAAATGCATGTTGATATGTTCAAAGAGACATCAACTTGGTGTTAATCATCCATTTGATATGTCACTCTCTAACGTATCAAAGATCCCTCAGCAGATACAAAGTGTTGTCACTCGGGAAATAATTACGATCATTTCACATGGTAACTGCTAACCACTCTTCCATCAAACAGTTTTGAGTGATTTCCCAATGATAATAATGCCTTCTTCTGTGAGATCACTTGTAGGAAAAAATCTGTGACATTTCTAGACAGAGACAATATACATAGAATTACTCAAGGTATACTGATGGTTATTAGGGATGTTTAAGAGCACCCCCCCAGGTCATTCAGCTCATAATATGAAAGAAAAAAAATATATTAGGCATAACAACACAGACATCGAACTATTTTTATTCTGTTTGGTTAATACTGCAAAATTTGTACCCACCAAAACAAGGATACTTAAAAAAAAGAACTGTTCCTCATTACACATTTGGTCATTTGACAGTAATGACTCCTTGCTGTTCCAAGAAATGTTCATATCACCAAATCTACAGTGTCAAATCTAGTGTCAATTGGAAGGTTTCTTGGAAAAGTAAAAACTTTCCATTTAGACTAAGTTAATGGTATGCCATCTCTCAACCACTGAAATTGAAAATGATGAAAACAAACGGAAACATTAACCACACTCTGTAAAAATGGCATAGCATCAATGTTGCATCTGTACTCTTTATTCTTGAGAATACAAGTACATGCATCTGTCTAAATGACATCTCAACGCTTGAAAACTTTCTGAAACAACTGGAGAAGTCAATACTTCCATTATTATCCAGACACCCTAAATAGCCCCTCATGTGTTGCCACACTTAATGATGAGACTAATAAACATCTCTTCATTGAGCACACACACTGTGTGTAAAAAATTCCACCGAGTACCGAGGAAATGTGATATCTGCTAAGGATCTCTCAGATGATATGCCTTGCATTCATGTATTCAATCACATCTTCAATCCACTCAGTATTTTCCGATGATCTCCTCAGACACAAAGTGCAGTCACACTGCGACTCAACCTCATGGCACCAAGACCAACCCATTACAATACTGAATCAAATATGATTGATGCCAACTTTAAATGAGAAAATTAACTGTATGTACGTTACCAGAAGTAAATGTCTACAGCAGGATTTCTGCAACCCTGAGAAATGTAGGGGAAGTATTTTCACCCTTTGACCTTCAAACGTGGGGTGTTTACAAAGGCATATATTTCACATCCCATCATTTCCAAATACTGCAGTTTCAGTTTCATTTCATCCCTCAGCTGATGACAAAAAGAATCATGAGCACAATATTCAGAAAAGAAAATAACACGCTGTAAGATTCCACAATTTTCATTCAATAGTTATCAAGGAACACTCAGCAAATTCTGTGAAAAGAATAATGATGACAACAAACATTTCAAATCCAAGGGGGGACAACAAATTAGATTGTGACCGAAAAAGAAAAAAACAAATTTCATCAAGACTGGACTCTGAGCCAAAATCCAAATGTCACATGGAAGACAAAATAGTATGTGGCTGCCTCTGACAAACATGCAAAGCACAATGACCTGATGAGTATGACTTCGGTTTATAGTGAGTTGCTGCTAATGTGAAGAGAATACAAGTACATTTGTATTTTTGATTTTACACTAGCTTTAGGTTTACACACCCCATCTGAAACATACACTGTACATACTTCTTGTCCCAACAAGAATAAACACTTTCAAGACTCACACTGCAGTGAGGGATTGGATAACAAACAAGCCATGCATTTTTATGCATGAACCTAGGGGGGGACTTGAACCAGTCAACCATCGATCAACAATTTACCTCAGAATACTGATATGTAAGTACCTGCTCATAAAGTCACAGATAAGATGCAGAGTATACAACACACATTTTGAGTAAACACTACTTTTTTTATAAGCTTAGAAAAAAAGCACCATTCACAATACACTATCTTGTTGAAGGGGCACTAGTCAATGCAGGCTGAAAACTGAACACGATTGGTCAATGCAGGATGGATGAGCTTTGAATCTAATTCTGATTGGTCAATACTAGCTTATTGACATTCATGCTCTTTGTCTGAGACAAAAATTAATACTCAAAGAAAGAATTCCTCAATTTTTCTTTCTCTAATATGCTTTAATCTTTGGTATCTGTGATAAAACTTCATCACACATCTTCAATGCTACAGTATGAAAAGAGAACGGCTTGAATTGAGGAGGGTACGGATTGTTATTTTGCAAGTACACTTCTTCCATAGGACTGTACATAAAACGCATTAATTGCTTGTTTCAATGTTTGTCATCCAACCTGTTGATGCATTGCATGTACCAAAAGGTTACACTGCTCCCCACAAGTGGTAGGAAGTTCAACATCACACACTGAGAACAATTTGTGTCGGAAATTTTGAGGTTTCGTCTTCAGCTGGAAAAAAATGCAAAGTGACCAGACCCCCTAAAAAGCATGGAGCTCTATCAACACTTATCTAAATTTTAATATACTTCCCATCATTAATCACAAGCGGCTGAAGCAAAAACAGTGCTAGGGATCATGTTGTCAAAGACTTGTCTGTGTTGTTTATTCTCCCAAAAATCCATTACAATCCATTCCTTTCTCTTTTCTCGAGAAAAGGAAAAAAGAAGTGATCAGAAAGCTTTTTTAATTTGACGTCCACTTCCCCTATGATCAATATGGCGGTCCGACTGCCTTTGAGCACAGCTAAACTCCACCTGCCATGCTTGGCTTCATCGACAAGGATCCTGATATTGACTCCCCTATGGCTGTTTTCTCCCCTGATCCAAGCCTCCCTGGATTGATCGGTTAGGGGAGGAAAGCCTATCACAAAGGCGATGGATTACACTGGAGTAGAGTCTGTGTGAGGCAGGTTTATTATTAGGACATACCGAGAAAGGGGACTGGAATGCAGTCACGATGCACTGCACTTTCCGCTATTATTTTCCACAGATATTTTGGGACATGACTTGAGGTGCAGAAGAAAGAAGAGGATTGTTTCAGTTATTCATGTAGACAGCACCTTCTGAAATTCCCATGAGGCTCTAAACAGGTGGAAATGAAAAGGACATTTCAAGTTTTTCTAATTTTTTCTTCTTCTTTTTTCTTTCCATGCACATTTCTCAAAGAACAGTTGCTTTTGGTAATTTATATAAGGCTTTGTTTGGATGCTTGACATCAGAGAAGGCACATTATGTTATACCGGTACAGATGCCACTGTCATTTGTAGACTTACATTCCTCAGTGTACCAGTATACCCTAACCTCCAAACACTGTCCTCTCCATCAAGAATCCTCAAACTGTGTAAAGGTTTCAAGCATTTACACTTTAAGAACTAAATTCCTGTAGCATATAAGTCCAAATGAAAGATAACCATGCTCTTTTTCAATGGAGGCAATGCCATGTGACTGGCGTCCATGACACCTGACAATTTACCAGTGCTTAGCTCAGTTCTACTCCAGCTGGTCTGTACTCTTTCGTGCAGTTCAGAAACACCAACACAGCATGGTTACAACCAACCAACCAACCATACTATATTTGCAGCAGCTACCCACTGGAAGATTAAATGGATACATATCACTGATAGTAAGGGACAAATTCCTACAACTTCTGGGAAATCTCCAGGCTGGGTGCCACATGCAGAGTCTTTGAACTTGTACACAGATCAGAGGGCCAATGTCATGGTGCTTAACTTTAATTTTATTATAGCTGTGCCAACTTCATGAGCATTAACGGAAAAAAAATCCTCCCATCCAAGTCCCACACGATGACTATACAGGAATTTCTACTGCTGCCTAACTTTTCTCAGACCTATTGTGTAACCTGCGTTATGAAGTTCTGCAACCTAGTTGTTGGTAGAGTAGACTTGCGACAGTGTGGCAATATGGAGATTTCTGTGGCATTTTCATTTTATAAACAAATTCTCTGACTGGAGTTGGTAAACTCCACATTGTTCTCACTGTTGTGTGATTATTGCCCTGTAAAATGGGGAGGCTTTCTTTGCTGAAAATCATATTCTTTGGTGACATGAAATGGGGCACTGGTTCTCACTGTGTGGGGTTACTTATTGTACATGTATTTAAGTGGGAAATAAAATTAGCAGCAGCAACCAAACCTAGAAACAAACAAAATCAATCCCCTTGCAAACATGAAACACACTGTCATACATGTACGTATGTACATGTATATTGGCTAATGACCCTTGCTTCAGGCAAATCTCATGACTTATTGTGGGCACCTTGTGTGTTTGTACACATTTTGTTTGTACATCAAATCACTGTGCACTTCAAACGTAACTCCACTTAATTAGCTGCAACTGGATTTCATTTTTCAGAAACAGGAAGTATGGGACAAAGTGTTTTTTACATACCAGAAGGTCTACAAAGCCTTTTGAAGTTTTCCCTGATTTTTTTTTAATCCTGACTTTAAATGGCAGCAACATTTTGTCTGACCTATATGAAAAAAAATCCTTGTATATTAAGAGTACGTTTTAGTTTTATTGATATCTTTTTGACTTTAACTGATCTTGACAGGCAAAAGACAGCTGCAAGATATTGTGTGGGTGTTTTAAAAGGAATTGTTTTTCAGGATTGAAGTGCCTTTTTAGAACTACTTTCTCAGTTCTTTTCCATATGATAGCTAGCATTTTACAGCCAATTTTCTCAGAAGACCTTCAGATCGGATTACGGATTAGATTTTAAAAAAGGACAAAAAAAGAGTAAACTAAAGAAAACAGAATCACGACTCATCCGTGCTCTGGGAATAAACGCACTCGTGTAGGTAAATCAACCACATGACCCTTTTCTTTGCTGCTCTCTCATTCCGGTCAGAAACCTGCAGCAAACTGAATTCAGATACGATCCTGTACTTGTTTGAACAAAAAAGCATATCACTCTTTTTAGGGGCAAATATCCTTCAACAGCATAATGTGCAAGGTTGTTGATGCCCCTAGTTTGGGGCTTTTGCACACTTTGCTCAAGTGCAATCTTTCCCCAACCGCTGATACCAGAGTTATTCAAAGTTATGGCACCGGTAGGCCTATGTGGGACATTTTAAAATAGGGGTTGGAGAAATCTGAAAAAGATTGGGCTGCTGAAGTGAATGAATGTAAGAGCCAACTGGGGTGTAAAAAGACGGTCAAAAGCATGTTTGGTTTTTAGCATTAGAATAGCCAATTGGTCAACACAAAACATGTGTACTCACGTGGAATATGTATTTTTTCATTGTCGTCGGCTAGCACTGGGCAAGATGAACTAAATCTTGACAAAGATTCCCTTCTTGCATCCTGAAGTGGGGAGGAAAATAAAAATGAAACAGATCAAACATAAAAGGGATATTTTGCAATATTATGTGTCTTCCAGAATGCATTTTAGGAAAGGTGAATTTTACTTAACAACTGCGAATAAGATACATATTAAGTGTAGGCTGATTGTCAGCCACTCCAATATTCCTGAGTGTCTTCCACATTCCAGCTGTGTCTCTGCCTTTGGTTTCATGCTTGATTTCTTGAGGTCACTCTTCAAGATGAGCCTCAGGCTCCATGTAGTTCCATTTTTCAGTGCAGATAAGATAAACTATCTTTGAGGTGAAGCCAAGTTAGGGGCATTTTCATCCAGAGCTGGGGTACTTGTACTCAAGTACAACTGAAGTACTAGTACGAGCAAATACTTTGTGCAGACTCAATTCTTTATGGACTCTGAGTACTCTGTACTCGGGTTTGAGAATTCACTGAGCCAAGGCAGAGAAACAACTGAGATTTGGGATAGGAAGGAGAAGGAGTGGGCAAGTCAGTCTGATCACAGCTCCAATATGTCGCACAGATTGCGAGTCGGAGAACATATAGCACATTTTTCCCCAGCACAGATATTTGGTGCTCCTAAGGGGTTTGTTGGGAAAATTCCAAAGCTTGCAGTTTTACAGCAATGAGGGATAGAAGTTCAAAGTAAGCACAGTTTAAAGTCATCTTCACAATTCTATGCGTATCAACAATAAAACATTTAGGGAAGCTCTTACCTCCAATTTTGAATCTAAGAGAAATCTAGCAGTTTTGAAGTACAGTACATGTATGTGTATTTCCCCAATTGCTATATGTTGAGGGGCTTAGCTTAAAAATGTTGGGTTTTCATTTGCAGTTACCCTGGTGTGAACTGAACAGGGCCAAAGGAAAGTCCCTACAGATCTATACCAGTGATAAACACCACTCAAAGGTCTACACAAAAAACCAGACAATGGATATATCCCAATGCTCCCATTCAGAGAAACATTAATGCAGGGGGTTTTAACCTATTAACCTTGGGGATTATGAATTTGTCAACACTATGTGCCTCCCTTACCCTTTCCAAGATAAATGCTCAGTGAACTTCCTGAAATGGTCAGCTCACACGTTATAATGAATGAAAATTAAAGCAACTGAATACTGTTTATGATGATTTGTAAACATCACTTTGTGCATTGGGATTGTTTGCAACAAGGAACATTTCACTAGATTTAGGTCACATGGAACAGTTGTTTGGAGGAAAATATTCCTAGTTCTCTATTAGAGTAAAATCGGATTTAGTAACAAAGGATTCAGTTTTTTTTTAATTTTAAAGGTCAAATTCATCAAAATGTAAACTGTTGCTTCAAAAATTGGCCAATTTGATTTATTTGTATTGTTGAGGTCAATAAATGACATTTACACCTGTAGGTGTTTCAAAAAGGAGTGTACGCTGTACATTGTTTTAACGTTAAACCTACAGATAAACTTCACTTTGTAACTAACTAATGTTGTTTTTCTTAATTTTAGAAGATCAGAAATCCTTAGATCTCAAAACCATGATACTGGCATGTGCTTCTAGCTGTGCAAATAGGAAGCTGCTTGGAAACTACGAAGTTATCTTCTAAAAAAAATACACAAACTTTATCAATGTATATTCTCCCTTTTATATTCCTTATCAAAGAAAGTCAAGCACACAGACAGAATTTGAAATCAATTGTGGGGAAAATTTGAAACAAATCCTATCCAGTGTTCATTGATGTAACCCTATCTAATCTGACCAGAGAAGCTGATAGCATCTGGGACTGTTATCCTATCTGGCAGCCTGTCCAAATACCGAACAGTGCGCAGCACTCCCATGATGCTGTCATCTCAGCATCCCACAGAAATCATGGGATGAGATTTCAGTTAATGCCAATATCTCTCCCCCCATCTCCCTCCCCGCTGAGCTGTGCAAGTGCAGAGTTTCTTGAGTTTCCTTGAGAGGGCCCTGTCCGCTGCTGTGCATGCTAGCAACGCTGGCTATGTCCGCATCTCGGACACTAATTGCTACCCTTTTCTATCCATGATTGGAATGGATTTCTTTTTGTCTCATGTGGAGTATGCGCCATCCCCCCCTTTTTTTCCTCAGGTTATATACCAATCTTTAAAAAAGGGGGCATAAATCCCCTGCTAACTCACTGGAGAATTTCAATGACTACGGCTGCCTAGCAACCATGCCGGTCTTCACATCTCAACAGCTGGCATGGTGCAATAATCATAAAAAGGGAGATTCAGCCAAGCTACTATCTTCACAATTCTGCATCTTCAGAATGGCACACACGCATGAATGAATTTTCTATTCTTGCAACATTTCAGTTTGAGTGAGCAACTGTACACTGCATGTGGATCAGAGGCCGTCTCCGAAACGGGTTCCAGGGCTACGGCTAGGTCTATTGTCCACGCATCTCTGCACATTTCCAATGGAGGGAAGACCTAGACCTAGCTCTAGACAACAGATTTGGATGCAGCCCGAGCTGCACTTCTTGTGCTCTCCAAAACTTGGCAAAGTTTGCGGCAACTACAAGTTCATGTAGTAAATGCCTGTAGAGAGAGACAACCTACACTGTACATGTACATGCTGCAGCCATCTGGGAAGATTGGCCTTTCAATAAATGTACAGCAGATTGTGCCATTGGCCAGTAAGGTATTTTGATATTTACTCAACACAATTATCTAAATGTGCAGTCAGACTACAGATAAATACTAAGTGCTATAAAATGTCCTTGGCAAAAATTCTTGCAGTACGAAGTTCTCAGCTTCTTGTACATATGCAACAAAATGTAACACTGTGAATGCCAGTAAATGAGAACCATGACAATATACCAATACATGTAATAAAACAGATTACAGCTCATTTTGTTTTTTGATGACTGCATGTTAGTCAGAAATCTACAAATGCAGCAGTCAAATTTCTAAAGTTATTTCTTTTCTTTCAGAAACTTTGTTACATGTGCACATGTAGATTTCTCATTTCTGGATCTAGACAAAATGAAAAGATGTCATTCTTTAGGCTTTACAGTGGATGTCGTTTTGAGTTCACATGGCACTTAAACTAGCAAAAAAACCACACTCAGTGCTGTGGTACTAAATGTCCGGCTGTAACCATTCCCTTTGGCTTTATATCTCATTACACCTCAATATAAGATTGTGTAATTTCATTGGGTTAGACCTGTTCACATGAAGCCTGATATTTTGCAAGTTAATAAACTATGAAAAGAAAATTCGATCAAGGTCAACTAGCAGAATCTTTCTCAAAGGCAGAATTTCACATTTCATTCTAAAATTTGAAGTGCTTCTGCAGATGCTGAATATTTATCTAAGCAGTCCTCCAAAAATCCTTGGCATATTACTTATCTGTGACTACTCTTATTGCGTTGTCCAGGAACGATTGATTCAATTATGTTATTGCACGGAAACCTTGAGACCAAGTCTCAGTGTACGAGATTCCTGTCACAAACTACAAACTGCACAAGACCGAGTCAGTTTCATTTTATGACAAAAACACAACAAATCGAGCACTTCATTGCATGCACTATCATTAACACATACATAACTACTGTTTCTGAAATTGGCCAAAAAGAGACAAGTGGGAGCCCATTTTTTGGACATTTTTTCATCCATAAATGGGAAGACAGTTCCATTTTTTTCGTGTTAATTTTGGAAGATGGTCTTGTCCCCTGGTGTATAAAGGTTACAACTTAGGAAAGAAGGGTTTCTTGAAGCCTCTTGAAGTCTATCGTGATTAAGAGCCTAACATAGTGGGGTACTTCAGCAAAAATAGGCAGAGTGAAAAACACAAGAACCTATGTGTAAGACTGTTATTGCATATCAACTGTCACATATTTAACTCAAATTTCACCTTAAGCACAGCTTATTTGTGCGCAGGACCACGTGCAGGTGGATGCAATGTCCCTAGGAACTGCACTTTGTTGATTTACACATGACTATGAAATGCACCTATTATGGTGGCATCACTACCAACAAAATGAATTCTCCCAACCAACATTGCTCTTTTCAACTGACAAAGGGGTGCTTCTGCTCAAGGTGGGTTAAAAGTGCAGGTTCTCAAAGTCCTGACAGTAACTAAGAGGCCTGTACTGAATATTTTGAATATTCAATCGTTTATCGAATAACTGAGTATTATTTTTTTTAATTTAATTATTCGTAATTGCGGTACTACTTAATGAAGATGTACTCCTCTAAACTGTACTATGTGCTCAAGCTTTGCTGAATGATAAATCCTTACTCTACCGAAAAATCACCATACAGCCAAACATTCAAATATCAATTATTCTACCTGACTCAGACTTAATAATGCAAAGAAGTTTGTTCAGATGAAATAAATGAGTAATTTCTTACCAAGAGTATTCCCACGCATTTCTGAATTCTATGAGCAATCCATAGTCCCAGCCCAGCATTCTGCATATTGCCAGCAGAGTGAGGTAAGAAACGGTGCTCAATACACAGGCCAAAACGAGCACATCCTTCACAAGATATGGGCATTTAAAAAAATGAGAAGAAAATTGCTGGGATTTCTCAGTACAACTGGGGACCCCCTTTTTTTTCTCTCTCTAGGCTAATTTCAAACATCCTCTAGGAAAGCCAGGGTTTTAAAGAGCCAAACCCTACGGCTGGGAGGAAGTGTTCAGTTAAGTCAGTAGGCTTTGCACCAAATCCCCCCCCCTTTCAGGAAGCTCCTTGTCCATATTTCAGCTTGGTCATTCTGTCAGCAGCCTTTTTTGCATTCCCCCCCTCACTTTTGGGTTTCCTACATTTGATTCGCATACCCTCTGGCAGCTTATAATAGCCAAATATCCGGAATTGGGTGCAAATGACGACTGAGTGTGTTGCTGACAGGAAGGGAGGGGGGGCTACTGACATGGGAGAAACCACCCTTTTTCAGGCTACTATTGCGTTTTCTAAAATTGCTCACTGAATACCGCCTGACTTGTAAGACATAAACCAAAGAGGACCTCTTCCATCCCTACCACACACATGGACTTCCAACCCTCCTAACATTTAAATTTGAACAACTGTTCCATGAAAGCAACCACACTTATTGCAGTAAGACCTCTGCACTGAATTTTTAAATTTCACATTTTCAATTTGATTATAATTCAGTCAGCAGTTATTGTAATTGATGTTGATGATGATGCTGTGGTTGTTGGGTGTAGCATTGCTGCTCGTTATTTGTCAGTGATTTCGATACACATTCATGTTTAAGGTGTAAGTTATTATTCTTGTGTAAATGTACCCTTTTTTAAATTAAGGTCCTTTTACATGTCATAAAATTCTATTTTATTAAGATTAAGATTGTTATTTTGGTTTGTTTGTCTGTCATTCATTACTCAGGTTATCATTTTGTTTCAAACTTCAGTTTAAGGTGTAGCCCATATACATGCATACTCTTTTTGATCCTTAAATGCTGTATCAGTTTTCTGGTCCTTTTATATGCCATAAAATGATGTATCTATCTGTTTTGGTCTTAGGCTATAATGCTAATGTGATTGCTTTATTATTTTTCAAGATGTATTTATGCTTTATTATTGATATTAACTCGGAACAAAATTGTAGAAATTTTTATGGATTAAATTATTTTGTTTTTATTTATTTGGTTAGTTACTGGAAAGTCTCTGAACATCTTTGATGGATTTGGCGCTATAAAAGGTTATTTACTATTATTATTATTACAGTAAAATCTTGATAAGTCGAAGCTCAGGGGAATGGACAAAAAAGTTTGAGTTATCCGACGTTCGAGTTATCGAAAGTTACACACTGCAGTGCACATGCAACCTTATTGGCTTACGGCAGTTGGCCTGCAAGCTGAGTCGAACATGAAGTCGATTTTAGGCTATCCCTACTATGCAAGTTTTCCTCAAACATCATCATTAAACATGTTTTTATGTGGTACATTAATAAACAATAAACTAATGAAGTTATGTACCCGTACCTGAGTCTGAATTCATTCATTTGCTTGCGTGATCGGGTTGTTACGGCATAACGCAGCGCACAGGCCAGTCGGTGAGGGTTTCCATGCTGGGTTACTAATACATGTACAAAGCGCTTGAGGGTGCATCATTCATGCCTGATTTAGGCTGCATCCGAATCTCTTGTCTAGAGCTAGGTCTTGGTATTCACTCCATTGGAAATGCATGGAGACGCACAGACAATAGATGTAGCCGTAGCTCTGGAAGCCCGTTTCAGACACGGCCTTATTTTACAGTTGCAGTAGATGCCCAGCCAGTGCTTGTCAACGTGACAATAGCAGCCCGTGTGAACATGCTCGGCTCATCAAAGAAAAGTTGTGCGTGTGACAGTAATGACTCATAATGAAGGCAAGCGTTCTTTCATCACTTTTTATTCATCATTCTTCAGTGTTTTTTTTTAATTGGCCTGCCCAAACCTCGAGATAAGCGGCTTTAGTGGTATTGACATTTCGAGTTACGGATAGTTTATTGTACATAAAGGCCTATTCTTTTGTTGGGAATACAGAAAGACGTCAAGGTAAGCAGAGTTCCGACTTAATGGGCTTTGTCTTATCGAGATTTTACTGTATTTTTAAAAATTCAGTACGGGATTCAAATCAAACATGACATCACTGTAACTCTTTACATATGAGACAATGAACAAGTTTGGTACAAATGCTACATTGTCACAGCTTGCTTCTTGCAATGTCTTCAAACTCCATGAAGAGTTACAAGTGTTTTATTCTACTTTTTGTGAAATTGCTGAAGTCCAACTGCAATAAAAACAAGTCGACTTAGAAAACTTAAAAAATACATGTACCGTAAGTTCTGCAACACTGGACTCAATATCTTACAGCAGTTCTCATATTTAATATGCAAAAGAAGAAGTGGACAGTCTTACCTCTGTGGTCAGATACTCTTTATTGCTGGCCCGTAACCTTTGAACTTTGGTGTTGAGTAAGTGAAGATGCGCCATGCTCTCTTCTGAAAGTGAGAGGTAAAAACCGGGTTTAACAGCACTGTTTGCAACCAGGCATAGATCCATGTTGTCAGCTACATTTAGTTTGAAGATACATGTATGTCAACCAGTACTAAGATAGCTGGGGTTTTGTCTGCCATGGCCGCAGACACAAAGTGCTGATTCCCAATTCCAGATGCAAAACTTCTATTTTGACCATTTTCAGAGTTCTAATGCCAGTACTGCAACGATCCCCTGGCACAAACAACACTTAGGGTCCCAATCCTCAACGGGCCTTTAAGAAGAAGCTCTGCAGCACTGTAAGACTTCGATCGGACTCTGATGGAAAAAGAAACATCTGTGTACAGTGACCAAATAGTAGGGTACGCGGGAAACATTTCAAGGAATGGTATCCAAGTTATGCATATCCATGGTGGAAAGGACCATTCATTCTGCACCTTATCCACAGATCGTGCATTACATATGAAAACACAAACCAAATCCTACTGGGTGCTGCAAACCTCAGTCAATCCTTCAATGTGCTTTGCACACATAATCTTTCTCAACATGACAATACCAATCCTCGATATTCAGATGACAAGGTGAGTCAATTATGCGAGTATACTTGCACACCAGACTTGGCCGGGGCCAATGTGAGCTCTGTGTGTGAAATATTCCCTCAAGAGGCACACCGGCATGCACTACAATTCCACAAGCAAGTTCACATCAATAAGAGCATAGCTTCATGGCTAGGCTACACTGCGGCGTTCTGCTGCGGGCCACATTTCCTTCACAAGAGACACTAACGAGATTCAAGTGCATGCAGCATCTATCCAAACATTAATTAGTTGGCTCCATATTGGTGATCACTCATCCACTGAATGACAGGAGAATGCATCATCCTCATATCCACATGGTGTTTTTACCTATACGCATCACATATCATCACAGCATTTTTTGCACAAGGCAGGTATTCCTGGTTGCATTCTATTTTCAAACTAGCCACAAGACAGCCACAGACGAATGAAATCCTTCCCCTAACTGAGCACCAAATGGCCAAATGCTGCTTCAGCACAGTGTTTGTGATGATATACACAGCTCCAAATGGGAATGCCACATGTAACTACGAAGCACTACATGTACATGTATAATACAATCAAACGTTGCACTAATTTATTACTATCCAACACTTTACACCATGAGCACAGGTCCCTGACTCCATTCTGTGACAGCCCAAACTTTGAGGCAGATCCAAGCACATTCCACCACTATAACAACACAGCACACGACACTCCAGCGCAGCTCCACACAGTAAATTCCTATATTCACTGTATGGCAAACAATGCCCCAGACAGCTCAAATGTGCAAAAGCTGCCAGAGTTGTTCTGACGCACTTCAATCTGCGCATCACCTTGGTACATGAAACAGCTAATAACAGCAGCCCAGCAGAGGCCAATTCAGCTAGCCCGAGTGGCTCCCTTCAATTCTTCCCCTCAGCAGCCTTCATGCTGCTCTTCAAACCTCCACTTTTCTTCCCTTAAAAAAAAATCTGGCACCATTTCAAAAAGCAACCCAGAAAGTGAAGAGGACCGATTACACAATCCTCCAAGGCTAAACAAAATACTGGCTTCATGAATGCATAGGGCATGTGGAGACTCAAGTATTTCACATCATTATCAGATAAACACTGCCATTTACCCCAAGTAATGCTAAACCATCAATACAATGTGATATCTGAACAGATGGAAACTTCTACATACAGTACATGCATGATGAGACCATTCTACAAGGGACAGTACCATAAAGATGTATAAAACTTTAACTATACAATTTTTTCTGAAACACAGGTACATGTAGGTCTACGCTCATTTTTATGAAATAACAGTCCATTTCCTACTGTTATGTTTTATAATCTATTTAACTGAAAGTATTATAGCACAACTTTTGTAAACGTTTTTGTAAATTGCACTTTTTTGTGTTGTGGTTTCTATTTCTGTCTGTGTAAACAGCTGCTTTTTAATCTAGTCTGTTTAATGCAGTCATAGATGTTTGGGCTATCTTGGGTAGGGCTGAAACGATATATCGATAAATTGGTGCAGCGTGATACATTTGTTCACAATACCATATATCGATACAAATTTTTGGTATCGATACTTTCAAACAAACAAATAAATAACACAGCGGCAGTGCATGCACTGAAACAACCAAACAAGATGCAAGAAAAGTGTGAAGTGTAAAATTGAAAACGCGACAAGTTTAAGTCTCACCATGGAGCGGTACTTCGATCAGTTTAGGTGACGCATCAACGATCGATCATGTCCGATTGCAGTGTTTGTATCAAGTTGCAGCGTGTCCAGATCAACTCAGCTGCACGCTCATACATATACACGTATGTCATGCATGTACTATGTTTGAGTACAACACATACAGTGCGAAAGTGAGTGACGAGCAAAGCCCCGGTATGCAGATGGAGTTTTCATCAAGTATACTGTACCTTGAGGGCACCCTTTACAGTGCCAGCAGTAATGGACTGGTACCTTTCTTACTTTAAAGGGGTTTTATGTCATAGTCATTCTTGGACCTACAGCATTTTTGCGATGTTACAAGCTGGCTGATAATTTTTTGGCATGAGAAGTATTTTTTGATGGGACAAAACAAAGTTTTTTTACAACCATTATCGTTTTGCATAGCGTAAGCAAACTTGACAGGAGCAGATCTAGCACCAGTGTACCAGTGAAACTATGGAAGCTTCTGGGATTAAGATTTCCCCAACCTTTAGTAATCTTCTGTATGGAAACACTTTGGTTTTCTAAAATCAACCGATGACAATGGAGACAGAAAAGTGGACAAAACAGGCAATGCAGGCACTGTTTTGTTGTTATGAAGTACACTGGTAAATAAGTATTTAGGTTTATATTCATTAAGTAAATGAGAATTAAGTTAATTCATAAAACAACTAGGCAGTTGTATGAATTTTATAAATTTGATAAAATTACAACTTTCTAAGCTCATGAAGTTTGCTGAAATTTAAATACACTAAAACCGGTATATTTTTTGCTTATTACAGTTGCTTCAGTCCCAAGTCAATTCATTTTGTCATGATTTGATTTGTTCTTATAATTAAGATACATCACGATACATATCTTATTGTTTGGCAGGTATCCTGATACGTATCATATCGTGACTCAGGTGTATCGTTTCAGCCCTGATCTCGGGAAAATAAAATCAACTGTCTACTGTATTTCACTTTTGTTCCATGTGTGCAGGTTACAACTGATCATTTCTATCCACGGAAATAACTTATACAGCAAAATTTGAAACGGTATAATATTGTCAGCAATTCATGGAACTGATTAAACTGATAAGGATTTTTATGTACAATTTAATGGATATGTGATCAATTAGTTAAATTCAATACGTTTGCTTTCATCCCTGAATTAATTCAGTACATTCTTGAGATGAATAATCATCCCTAAAGATTAATTAATATTTCAATGTTTCCCTCAAATTCCACTCACACTGTACCCTGTACAACTCCGATAGCTTTTGCACACAGCTAGTCAGTCCTCATGTAAAGGCAGCATCCCCTATGCCTTATGCACACCTTGAGCCCAATCACAGAGTGGCAGGCCATCATCATCACTGCAGTCTGCCCATTTGGTGACCTTTATTGGGTCAGTGGGTGGACATTCTGACAAGATTCCTGTAGGTGGTTCATGCTGCCTCAGCATGCGTGGACAGCCCCCCTTTAAATGCCAAGGCTCGGTAGTTGGCGGAAGGCAACAGAGTACCTATTGCATTCTTAAACGTTTAATTCTGTTTTCATAAGGAGCATTAATTATCGTTGCATGCATTGGTACAAATACATGTACAACGTACCGATCTTCTGTCTCTCTTTTTATGGAAAAAAATGATCAGTAAAAAAGAAATGGACATTTTTGGTTTGGAAGAACTGTCACACTGACTTTTACATCAACGTTACACAAACACACTGACTTTTACATCAACGTTACACCTGTGAAATGAAATAGAGAAGTTAATCAACAAACTTTGTAAATATAAAACTGTATTGAACTGTGACTGAATTGTGAATACATGAAAATCAGTCAAGTACACATGTAGGTGAAGCAGAATTGGAGGGGAAAAAAGAAAGGTGTAGGCTACTAGTGGTATATTGACAATTGAATGTATAATGAAATAATGTCTGTGAATCAGTAACCACCTTCTAAGCACTACAAACACTGTAAAATTGCATCAGTTCATTCTGCTGGTTGCATTTCATCAGTGACCATCTGTGAGGGTTTAACTACGATATCTCAAAAAGTCCTAGTCATTCAAGCCAATGATAAATAGCACAAACTCTTGAAAACAACCATGCCATTCTCCACAAGGTGCGAACTAAAGGAGGGCATGTGGCATATCTTGATATCTCCAGTTTTTTGGCAGATGGCCATTCTGTAATTAAAGTTTTGTCCTGAATAAACTCCCTCTCTAATCCCAGAAAGTCCTATTGGATTGGCCAGTCACACAGAGCGACTATCTTCCAATATGGCTAAAATGATGCAATTTCAGCAAATCTGTACAACATCCATCTTAACAAAGTCCCCAAGTCCCACGGAACACTTGATGCCTGCAGTGTTAATCGCCATGTTCAAAGCTCTCAAATCACAGCATTACATGTGCACTCTGGATTTAGTAGTCAATGTCTTCTAAAAAATTAATCACCCAAAGATTAACGTTCTATAAAAGCATCATTCCTGAGAGCTCCAACAATCTCTTTGCTGAGGGATCTTTTATAATCTTCACAATAAAATTTTGCCAGACAGAATAATTTCCATTTTTGGTATTATTTAATTATTTCACGCAACTAAAACTTTCTATCAAAGTACTTTTGAGTGCTAAAACATGCAGACTTTGCTCTCTGGTGTTTAACCAATAAAATTTGTTTTCTTGCTTCCTTTCAAGAACTCTTGTTTATGAAACATCTTACAGACTTTAGAAACTCACTCTGTGGAATCTGGTCACT